GTGGTTGTCTTCCCTGAGGAAATTATATCAAAGCAATTTCATTATATACTAATGTATATTCTTTTTTTTCCTCATTGAGTTTATTGGTACATTTTAGGTATACAGTACATACTAATGTATACTCTAAAAGGGCAGGTGAGTGGGGGGCATGGTGGCACATGCCTGCAGTCCCAGGTCCTTATGGAGGCTGAGGTAGGAAGAGCACTTGAGACCATGAACTCACCAGCCTGGGAGACCCTAAAAAAGTATTGTGAGAAGAGATGAATATACTGTAACTGGCAAAGCAGAACACCCATTTTTAGTAGGTATTAAAAAAGAGTAGGCAGGGCCTGGAGGTGTGGCTCAGCCGTAATTCTTCCCTAGCATGGGTGAGGGCTTGGTTCAGCTCCCAGCACCATACGATATACACTAAAACCCAGCAGGCATTTAGTGTCTGTAAAGAGCCTCATCACACCCAGCTTTACTAGTGACCAGCTGCAGAGTACACTCGCTACTGTGCAAGTACCTCAGACAAGAAAAACCAGTAAGAGGACAGTAATTCTCTTTTTACATTTTCCACCCGAGTTATTACAGAAGGGAATTTATTTCATAGGGGCTATCTTGTCTGGCACCGAAAGCGCGTTCTATTCCCTCTACCAAGCAAATTATAAAACTAGTAGGTATTACATCAATACTTTCTTGACTCTCAGACCTAACCCCAAGATTTTCAGGGAATGAGAGAATAAGATTAATAAAGCAAAGAGTTAATCTGCCTGCCTTATTTAAAATTTGCTATCAGTGTATAATCTCACACACCATTAAGGCTGACCACAGAAGTAGTCTTGCTACTAGGGTGAAGTTCAGAAACTGTCATCCAAAAGCTTCGCTCTGGTTGCTGCAGACTGCACACTAGGAGCACTGGAGGGACAGGGGATGCAGGGAGGAGGAACAGCTGCTCAGAGAGAGCTTTTTCTGAAGTCCCCTCTGCTGACATCACACAGAGAGTGGATTGAAAGGGGATCCAGTTCTTCAGCCACAGAACTTGTGTTCCTGAGAGGTTTTTAATCTGTGTAACAGACCACACGTACTCATCATACAATCCCCCTCGCTCTCTGGGCATTGCTGCCCCGCAGCCTAGGGGCGGTGCCAGGCCTCCTCTGCTGTCTGCACTCAGGATGTTATAAGAGATCCCATCGCCTGTGAGTCTAGAATTTCGTGAAACTCCTGTGCATATGCTCATAATTAAAATGTTTTTCTCTTATTGCTCTCTCTGCTGTTAGTTTCATAGACTCAATAACCAAACCATCTGAAGGTAGGCATTTTTTCGTTCCCCTATGCAGTGGTACTTTGGTTTATGAACTTCATTTGTTTTATGATTTGGGGGAAGGCTGTGCATTTGTGTCTGTGCAGGGAAGGTGGCCATGGTTGTTTCTTTCACCTGATGTGGTTTGCAAATGGAAGAATAAAGAAGTACACTTTCATCAGAAGAAGCCGATTTTAGAAAATGTGATAAAAGCATTTGAAATTCACAAGACTTCTGAATATTAATATAAAAAGTAATACAGAATACTAGGGAATATTAAAATGCCAAAGATATTTGATTAGTAAATATTTTATACTAGGCACACATTAGTTAAGTCTTCAATTCACTTTTGTAGCACTGTTTTTAAATAATATTCAAAACTATACTTTAAAACTTTACATCCCTAAAATAATCATAAAGTAATCCTGGTAAGACTAATTATAAGTCTCAAAATAGGAGCAGTGTTTACTTCCTTTAAATGCTCAAACATATAAACACAAAAAAGTTTATAAAAAAAGTTCAGTTTCCTATTAAAAAGCATCAAGCATATGTCACTTATTGACACAAAAAGCTTAAACGCATTGTATTGTAAGACAACCGGACTAAACTGTTCTCTAATTTTTGCTTATCACTATTTTCAACAGAATAAAACACAATATGTAATAATCTTGTCTGTGATTATATTATGGTTTTTAAGTGCATTATCAGTAATGCAGAATAGTGGGGTTTGGGAAAATTGATACATGCATATAACAAATCTTGATCATTTTTCAGTCCTATTAATTCCCTCTCTCCCCCTCTTCTTTTACCCCTTCTCCCATCTCCTTTCCTATCTCCAAAAGTCTAGTTCCTAGTTTCCTCTCATTTCATTTATTTGGTGTCTTATATAACAGGAAAAAAAATACAGTATTGAACTGAGTCTGGTTTATTTTGCCTAACATGCAGGTCTTCACTTGCATCCATTTTTCTCCAAATGATGATTTCTCCAATGATATATATGTACATATATTTTTTCTTTTATCCATTCATGCCTAGCATCTGTGCATCAGGCCACTATAAACCCAAGTAGGTATATATCACTATAGTATATTGTTTTTAATTTGGAGGGTACACCCAATAGTGGTATAAGATAAACAAATACAAGTATGATGAAAATCAGTATGGAGGCTCCTCAAAAAACTAAAAAGAGAAATACAATACCTTTTAAAAAAATTAATCACATTTTGAAAACTGAAGAGGCTAAGTAAGATTACAAATAAAACAATAACTGAAAAAATAGGCAAGGCTTCTCAAATTATTCCTCCTGTATCACTGCTACAGAATGAATCCCTCCTCCCCAGATTCACCCCCAGCACCCCAGAATGTGACCAAGTTTAGAGCCTTTAGAGAGGTATTAAAGATAAATGAGATCCTAGGAGTTGAATCCTAATCTGGCAGGACAGATGTCCTCATAAAAGGAGAGAAGAACATCAGGAAACCAGATACATTTGTCATGGTGAGATCAAAAACAGGTCTGGTGAGCCTTGAGCTATCATCTACTTCAAGAATGTTTGAAGAGAAACTTGAAACTTAAAAGCTGAAGTTAAAGGTTAGAGAATGAGGATTTCTTTAAAGGCAGAATTGTTAGATTTAGTGCTTCTTATACCTTTCCCCAGCCAAGTGAGGGGTCATCAGAACACCCTGGTGTCTAGGAAATTTGAACAGTCTAACACTGAAACAGTCTAAGCTTCCTGAAAGAGTCTTACGCAGAGAAGCCAGTTAGGGCACCCTTGGATGGCAGCACATAGTCAGGGCTCTGCCCCGGGGCTGAACCAAACTCTAAGGACTTGGCAAAGGTGAACAAACGTTTCTTGCGGACCAGATGGGAAGTCTGAAGAGGAATGAGACATAGGTAATGTAGGTGGACTGCCTGGAGGTCACCACTGGGAGCGAAGGGTTGAGTAGGATGGAAAATGGGCCAGGCGGGCAGATTTCACTGATCTTAGGGCCTTGGGAAACATTAGTCAGCTTACAAAATATCTGACACTCACAACCTAAAGGAGGAGAGGTTTATTAGGCTCATAATTTCATAGGATTCGGTCTCTTCAGGCCCCAAGGCTAGAACAGGCATGGCAGAGTAAAGCTGCTTGGTTCATGGTGGCTGGGAAGCAGAGTGGGGGAACAATGCCAGGGAGCACGTGATCAGGGACAGACACAGTATGAGAGGGTCACATCTCCATGAGCCACCTAGTCACACCCAAGAGTGTGCCTAATATGCCAGACACTTCTTAACCAAGTCAAGTCGAAAATGATGAGCAAGGGTGAGAGGCTCATCTCTCAGTGGTAGATGGCTAGGTCAGGTAGGGAGCATCGTCTGTCAAGAGTCTCGCCAGCCACTTCCACCCAAAGCACCAGGCAACTTTGCATCACTGGAAAGACATACCCAGCACAGACCACTTAGGAAGAAAAGGAAGTTTATTTTCTCTCAGAGTTGAAAGGTTCAAGCACCACAGATTCGGGCCTTTAGTGAGGGCAGTTTGTCACGATGGGATTGAGGGCCAGAGAGAACACTCACTGTAAACCAGAAAGCAGAGAGAGCACGATAGACAGGGGCAGTGGAAGACTTTTCCACAGTCCTCTTCAAAGGCACATTCACAGTGCCTAAGGGCCTCTCATAGGTGTCACCTCCCAATATTGCTGCCCTTGGGACCAAGCATTCACATATGGGCCTTTGGGGGACACATCCGAACCCCTGAACCTAATATTTGAAAATTATCTTCTTTGGGATAAAATATTTCTGGTACTTTCCTACACCTCCTATCTGGTCTTCTTACCTTACTTTTTATTGATTTTGATTGATTGTATATTTCATGTGAACAGTAACCCAACTGCTGTAAAGGATGTGACTTTAAGTAACATCCTTCTCAATCTGGCAGCTCACACTCTGAGAAATACATTTTCCAGCGTAAGATGGAGAAAATAAGGAAGGAGTCGGGAATGGGGCCACATGCCTGTCATCCCAGCTACTTGGGAGGCTGAGGCACAAACACAGCAAGTTTAAGGCCAGTCTGGGCAGTTCAGCGAGACTCTGAACAAAACAAACAAACAACAACAACAGCAGCAAAAGGAGAAAAAAGAAAAAGAATAGCTTTGCAAAGGCAAATGATTTTTCTGTTTTTAGGAGAAAGAACTTGATAGTGACTGTGTCTATAGTTACCACTTAAAAAAGCAGTTTCTTCATTTAAAATCACTTCATAGTACAATCAAAAATCATTCTCTATCTCACGAAATGACCACAGTTATTTTTGGACTCACTCTGCTTATGAGAAAAAGCAAACACAGGAGCTTCCAGTCTCAAAGGTCCCTTACCAGCTACCATTTAAGCGATGAATATTTTGCAAACAGAATTGAAAGTTTTGTCTCCATCTGGCCCTCCTATGGCAGTAGCCAGGCAGAAAAGAATTTCTTTGACTCACAAGCATCAGGGTTTTTAGGTATTAGTGACTCAAGCATTCGTTTGCCAATGGTGTCAGAAATTTCTTTTAAAAATAGCATTTCATTATCCGTTTAGTATTATTTTAGGCAGAGGTGGAGGTGGCATGAAATACCAAGGCGATCATTGTGGAAAAGACCACAAATGCCCAAAATCTTGTGAATATTTTCATTTAAAATATGTGAAAGCACAGCCTTGCTTAAAACTAAGACTGCGATGGGTCCCAAGAGAATGCGCCCTACTGACCCCAAAAGAGCTGGAGCAGACGCTGCTGCAGCACCACAGGGAACAGACCGCCAGGCAGCTCACGTAGGAAGCACTTCAGCAGGCTGGCTGCAGTGTGCAAGTCTCCGGGCCCAAGCTCCAGGCGCTCCCCGCTCTCCAGCCTCCGCCGCAGCTGCTCCACTGCCTGCACGCTGCCACTCACCCTGAACAGTCCCTCCTGAGTGAGTCCTGAAACGACAAAGCAGGCCTGGGAAATAACATCCACGACTCTTGCAAGCAAAGGCAAAATCTAGAGTAACAACATAAATAAATAAATCTCAGCATTATCAAGTCACTGGAAGACTTTCGTATACTATAAATTTTTTTAATATGTATTGGATATCAACGCAAAGGATCACACATGCTTGTTGTAAGAGCTGACCTCTAGAAACAAACACGTCACTTAGAGAACATACAATAGTGTACAACAGGGCCGCGGATTTATTAGCTCAGTGGCACCGCACCTGCCTTGCAAACGCAAGCTCCTGAGTTCAATCCTTGATACCAAAAAATAAAATAAAATAAATACTGTACAAATTGCTTCAAATACACATAAAATCGGGCCGGGGATTTAGCTCAGGGGTTCTGGTGCTTGCCTCACCAGCGCAAGGTCCCGAGTTTGATCCCCGGTACCCTCCCCAAAGTTAAATCTTACATAGTATCTAAAATTTAGCTCACATTCCAAGGGTGGTTTAGCATCTCAGAAATACCGTTTTTTAACAAATTATAGTAAGTTTTGGAGACGCGACCAGAGGCCGAACTCAGGATCTGACAAGATGGCCGGGCTGCCCCGCAGGATCAACAAACTCAGCGTTTGCTTGGCAGAACCACTTCCTGGCATTAAAGCAGAACCAGATGACAGCAACGCCTTTATTTTCATATGCTCACTGCTGGCCCCCAATTCCCCCTTTGAGGGAGGGACTTTTTAAACTTGATCTATTTCTTCCAGAAGAATACCCAATGGCAGCACCTAAAGCACGTTTCACAACCAAAATTTATCATCCTAATGTAGACAAGGTGGGAAGAATATGTTTAGATATTTTGAAAGATAAATGGTCCCTACAACTGGAGATAAGCACAGTTCTGCTCTCGATCCAGGCTTTGTTAAGTGCTCCTAATTCAGACAACCGTAAGTAAACGATGTAGCAGAGCAGTGTAAGACCAAGGAAGCCCAAGACACAGACACAGCTACAGCATGGACTAGGCTGGATGCCACGAATAACAGCTAAGTCCATCCGATCAACAAGTTTGTGTCACTTCTCCTGTTCTGCCAAGACTTCCTTTTTGTTTGTTTGTTTGTTTGCATTTAATGGACACAGTCTTAGAAACATTACAGAATAAAAGACCAGACATTTTCAATCCTTTGGTGATTAAATGCACATTAGAAAATCCATGTCTTGTCCTGATTCGCTGTTGTAAAGCATGAGCAGAGACCAGAAGTATTATCTGGACTGTCCTGAAAGGTTTAAAAGCAGTGGCCCTCTGCTTTTATGCATTTCCCCCATAAAGGTTTAAGTATAAAGCACTGTGAATGAAGGTAACAGTCACGGTTAGCTGCAGGGGTATGGATGTTCTTTATTTTATTTTCTTTATTTTATTTTATGTTCTTTATTTTATGAGGGGGAAAAGAAATATCAAAATTTTATGGGCTCTTTTTATCCCCTTTTATGGTGATCTAATTGCATTGATTAAAAAGCAGCGAACCAGTTTTCTAGAATACACCCTCTAGCCAGGTCTAACTTTCTCTAGACGCTATAGATGGCCAAGCTGATTGTCTGAACCAAAATGGGAACATTAATAAACATCACAGCTCTCACCAATAACATTGTGACTTTGCTGTCAAGTGTAGATTTCCCCCCTTCAGAAAAAGCTTGTGACCATTTTGTATGTCTTATCTGGAAACTTCTCTAAATCTTATGTTTTAGTAAAATACTTTTTGCTATTCTAAAAAAAAAAAGAATTATAAGAAGTTTTTAACTATATGTAATTGCTTTTGTAATATTTTAAGAAATAAGCAGTCACTAAATAAGAAATGAGTAATCCCTAAATTTAAAAGGTAAGACTCTGAGACCATAAAGTGGAATAAGGCAAAATTCTCACGGGCACCAGGCTAGCAGGGAAGACTTCCCAAAGCACGCACACCTTCACCTTTGGCTGAAGCACAGCAAAATGCAGAGCTGTAGCTAATTCCTGGGAAATCAATGAAGCTGGAGCTTAAGAGAATGCTGTGATTTAAATGTTTACCCCCTCCAAATGCATGTTGAAATTTAACTGCCAATATAAAGGTTTTCGAAGGTGAAGCCCTTAACAGGTAATTAGGCCAGGAGGACTGGGCTGGACTTGAACTCGCTATGTGTCCAGGCAGGTCTCAAACTTGGAAGGCCTCTGCCTCTGCCTCCAGACTGCTGAGACTATAGGCCAGTGTTAGCATGCCAGCTCCTTTCTCTCTTTTTGATTCCTGCCTGATAGTGACCCACTTTCTCTACCACACATTCCTGCCTTGATGTGTTATATCTTGGTAGACTCCCAAAGCTATGGGGCCACTGGATCTTGGACTGGGACCTAAAAAATCATGAGCAAAAACCAACAAAACAACAACAACAACAAAAAAAAACCCCTATTTTCCTAAGTTAATTTCTTTGGGTATCTCATCATAGTGATAGAAGGCTAATACAAGAATTAAATATCTGAATTCAAAACCTTGATCTACCCCCAACAAAGAGGAACAAATGTAAGAACTGAACCACCAAAAAAAAAAAAAAAAAAAAAAAAAAAAA